AGTAACAAACACGGGTGAACAAGAAAATCGGTGATTTAATAATGGAATAGAACACCGGAGGGGAAACTACATTGTTACGAAAAGGTGTTTGATTGAACTCCGAGTAAAGAAGAGTACATAAGTAATAAGTACTTTTCATCCTTTAGCTTGTGTTACTCATGAGCGCGTCATGCTTCTTACCGGGCTGCTTTCTTCAAACCTTTTGCTTCCATTCACAATCTTCTGCTGTCTAATTGCTCCAGCTTGATAAGGGGTCTTCCTCTTTTTAAGTGCATAGGTTCTTTTCATTTATGGAAATTATTTGCCAGTTATATGGTAACATGTTAATATAATTTGAGAAACCCAGTTTTGTAAGTTCTTTTAAAGATATTACGATCTATATCCGTATTTAGTACTAAATATCCTTTATAACTTCTCACTAACCTTTTGTTACGGAGAATGAAATAGGGTTTATTGTTAATGTTCCATTATTAACTTTGCAGTTACTACTATTGTTGCTTAATTTAAAATTCATTAATATATATAAAACTGATTATGAAATTTTATTAGGTAGCTAATTCGATTTCATTTGTTTTAAAATTATTTATTCCAGCTTTAGAGCTCTATCTGTTCACGTGTCAACAACTCCTTGTTTGTAATTGTAGGATTTAAATTATTGGGATTGCGATATTTGTTTAAGCTGTGCTATATTACTATACTTTATTACATGTAGTATTACTTCGACACTTTAGCAGTTACCAGAGTTCATTATCAGAGCATCAGCTGACGAAAGATGAGTTCTTGCGGAAAGAGACCACTGAGAAGGTCTTTATTGACATTAGTGCAGAAAATGACATGTCCTTTCAAGTATGGAAGGTTTTCACTTTTGTACAATATTGTATCAATATATTGAGTTTGCGATGTTTGTTTGAATTTTTATTAGCCTCAAGTGTAGGAGTGGGTTATCCTAGCGCCGAATTTTGACGTAATATTAGGCAGTTACCTGTTCATTTAAAGTTGACTTTACTTAACACTATGAATTTTGTGGTTATCTACGAAGAAACAGTGCGTAGTTCGTAACGAACACTACGTAATTTTAATTTTTTATGATGGGTATATCACTGGTTCTGGTAGTGAGATACTGATTTAAAATTTTACGATTTCTGACGAAAATGGAAGATCCATTGTACAGATTATGATATCACTTGGTTCTTCTGATTGCATGGTTAGCTGCATGAAGGACATGTTTGTATATTTTATATGATGCTGTCCAGAGTTGTAATCCACTCATATCGGTATGGACTGAAACTGATTTTCGGTTCAGTGTAAGACGTTAATACCGCCGTTTCATAGGGTTCTATACCGACCCGTGTACTTTAGCTTCATCGTTGTTGGCAGCATAAAGTTTACGTTGTGACTGTGGCATTGGCTGAGGCTTAGGCAGAAATGCGATAAAAGCCACACATCGCCTGTCTGGACTGCAGTACAAATTGGTTTCATTGTGGACGGATTAATATGCTGAACTGAGACTTACGCATAAGAACTGACATTTCTTCTGATTTCATATGCTACAACAGGGGAATAAGCAGTGCCATCGATGGCAAAATATGGATATAAGGTTTAGAACGTTTTAGAATAAATTGCTACTTCGTAGAGCAGGAACACTGGCTTAGTATAATTGCAGACAATTAAAATGACAAATAAAATCATGATTGAATGCTCATCTGAAACTCGAACCGTTGCTGAGGACTGCTCAAACCGAAAACCGTCCACAGACAGGGATAGTCAGAGGCGTAGTGGGGGGGGGCATGAGATTTTTATGCCGTGTTTTTATATTAAAGGAATGTTGGTAGGTAAGTGTGTGTGTTGGCACTGCGTCAGATTAACGATCTGTTTGGAAACGGACAGGTTAACTGTAATTCTTCCGGTAATGTGTGTCTCTAAAATGATTTTAGATAGGCGTACTTTATATATAGAAGATACACTAGATCGTGTTAAATCTTGAGGTTCTGTTTGGACCCTATTCTAGTTTGACCGTGGTAATACTTTTCTGAGTAATGAGAACAGCTCAAACCACAGCGTAATATCTGAACGGCATATGGATGTGAGAATCAGATGTTGAGGGATAAGGTGCCACACATGATTTGTGATGGCTTTGGCGTATAACATTGGTGGCTCGGTTAATGCGCTTGTCCAAAGGTTAGAGGACTGAAAGAAAGCGAAGGTTTTGGATTGATATCTGCATATATAGTTGTCCATTGTGAGGAATTTACTTATTAATGAATGCATAATCACTGAAGGTAATACAGCAGTTTTAAAGTATCGCGTCGAAGCCTGCTCTGTGCCACTATCTATTGAACTATGCACGGCTACAATTTTGGTAGATTTTTCTCCTATTCTGAATTTGGCATCATTTTTAAGGTTCTACATGAAGCGACATTGTGTCTAGCCGTATGATCTAGAACTTCTTTCTATTATGTCTTTAATTTTAACTTGCGTTACACAAACTTTAAAACACAAGTTTACCAAAAATCATGGGCTTAGTCCTTTTGGATAGTACTATGAACGGGCTATTTCTTTAATGTATCGACTAAAATATATTTAAAAATCGTCCTTAATGTGCTAATATGGCAACCATCATGCATAAACATACTAAATAATAAATATTTGATGCATTCGTTAATGTGATTAATGATACCAAAGTGGTTAACTCCCAGTGGAAGATTTCAAATCTGTTTATAAAACCCTCTTGTTCTTAGTTCCCTAGGGGTACACTTTTGTAAGCTGTGGCTGCGTCTTGCATCATTTAGTTGGTTATTACAGCATTTTTTGACAGCAGTGACGTTTCGCTACTCAAAATACAGTAAGCCAGTATCTTGTGAGATCCAATATTGAAGCAGTTGTAGGCTTAACCTACATTCGGTCTAATCTGTGTAATATGTTCAATGTCATACTCATGCATATACGGAGTACCGACTCGTGAATGACCCGACAGAGTATTTGAGTATCTTTAACGAATGGAAATGATCTCATACACCTACGGCAGAGTGATTGCTGCAGTAACATAAAGGTGTGGTGCGCATAAATGCTCTTTGGTAACTAAGAAAAGTAGTGATGCAGCACGATAAAATTCGGCATTGCCTTTGCTGTTCTCTTGCGCAATATGTATAGTTTAGATAGGTCTGTTTAGATCCCGCGTGTCTCATTTCATTAATGTGAAGTAAACGTCGCAGCCATCGAAATAATATTGCCATTAAAGGCGTTATAACTGTAGATACGTTTGAGGTGGTTACGTTTGTTAGTTTGACTTCAAGTTGCATCGCGGTATTTTGGCTTGACTGTTTAACAGTGCGCATTGGGCCTGATTAATAGACTATTTCGAAGTAATAGCTTTTCTTTATCGACTTGCCCTTGGTTCTTAATTATTATCATTCTACTTCTTGCAGCCGTTCTGCATCCACGATGAACTTAAGAGAGGTAGCCGTTTTTTGCTACCGGATTTACACGTCGTACAAGCTTGTAAACCATTCAGTGGCCTAGGGCATCTATTAAGCAGGCCGCTGCTCTATGATATTTAATAATTTGC